CGGGGGGCCTCAGCACCCTCCCCAGCCAGCCCATGCCATGCAGTCCAACCCCCGGCCACGTGCCCTGCGTCCAGGTCCATTTCATTTGCAGGTGATTGACACACCACCTTCTCCCTCACCCTGCCTGGCTCTGCCTTCCCACCTGAGCACACGTTTCCAAGGAGACACACCCATCATCTTGGTGCACTTGGGTGCCTAGTATGGTACAGAAGCTGGTGAGAGGGATGCTCCTGAGATGGTCCAGGGAGCTCACCGAACAATCCATCGTAGGGGTTGGGCTCCCCAGGCCCTTGCATAGCCAGCCAGTGCCTGTGTGTAGTACACACAGTGTGTGATGGTGGTAGAGCCGAGTGATTTCAGGCCTCAAGCTCTGAAGGCTGACTGTCCTGGGTTCTAATCCCAGCTCTACCCGGGCGGCCCTGGGCAAATCACTTAACCTCCCAGGGCCTCCCTTTTCTCACCGATATAATGGGATTAGTGATAACAGCAGCACGCATGTGAGAGGGTTGTCATGAGGACTAAATGGGTTAACATTGAAAGCACTTAGATCAGTGAGGTCCTCCATAAGTGTTAGCTGCTGGTGGTGGTAATGGTTGTTACTATAGTAACAGTGTTGGTTAGCATGGGAGCAGCTGCTTGACCCCAGAGGGGCTGCCCTCCACAGGTTTGGCCCTGTGTCCCTTGCACACCTCCGGAGACTGGTGAGAAATCAGGACAACTGCAAACTATTAGGACAGAGGAGGCTTCGAGTTTGAGCTGTCGGACTGGGCCGCCTCCTGCGAGCACGGCTTATTTAGATGGATTAGGGAGAGGGCCCGCTCCTCCTCCTCAGCTGCCCTGGGAAGGAGTGATGGGTAATTGATGAAGAAGCCCCGAACAGGAGATTAAATGAGTGATGTCCAGACACTGATTGCCTCCTAATCAGGTGATGAATGCAGCTCCCCACACCTGTTTCCAGCAGGCTTCCACCCGGCCTCCCCCCAGGCTCCCAGTGAGCACAACCCTGCTCATTCCGGGCCTCTTTTTTTGCTCTTCGCCAGCATTTCTCTTGCTTAATGGTGAGGAGCTGGAGTATGGCTTCCCATTAACTTTTATCCTCCCCATAAACGGCCTGCTTGACTCACAGTGACAGTTGTTCCACTCTGTTCCCGGGGGTTCCTCCATCCTCATCTGCTCACAGCCAGCCTGTCACGCCTCAGCCCCGCCCACCAACGCCCCACTTGTGGGCCCTGCTGTGTCCGTGGAGGTAGGGAAGCCGGCTTTTACATTTTATTTACTTTTTTCCTTTTCATACAAGCAAAAGCCTCAGGCCTTAGCTTCAAAGTCCCTGGAGGGAGCTGAGGCTGAGGGAGCTGGGCCTGGGAATTGAAGGGCTTGGAGACAGAAGGGCCATGGGGTGCCTGCCCTGGAACCCTGAGCCATCAGCAGAGACTGAGGCCTCTGGAAAGGAGTGGGAGGGGCGTGGGGGGACAAGTGAGGGCCAGGGACCACGTCCCCCAGGAGGACAGGAGTGAAGCAGCCCTGAGAAGGCCACTTTGAGAGGTTCTAGTGTCCCTAAGCCAAGGTGGCTTTCCAAGGGGAGGGATGATTAGTCTGAGGATGGACTGAGATGGGGGCACAGATAAGCTTTGGGGAACCCTCCTTCTCTACCCCAAATCAGCCGGTGACCTGGAATGAGGCTTTTGTCCCAGAGCCCGGATTCCGCCTGGCCTTCCTGCCCCCCACCCCTCAGAAGGACAGATCTTTCTAAGAAACCCAAGTCTGGAGAGAACCAACATGGGGGCGTAGGTAAACGCCTGTACTCACCGCCTCCCACAACCACACCGGAAAGCTGGCTGAATGAAGTCCTACAACCAGAGAAGTAAAGAAGAAAGCACACTGTAGGAGGGGTGGAGGTGTGGAAAGGGCTGGACCAGCACCCACGTGGGCTGCTTTTTAATGGGAGGGATATCGTCTCTGTGAAGGCCGCCCATGAGGAGCAAGGGGCCCCAGCATCACACCAGATCCCCAGCCTAGGCTCCCAGAGCTAGGAAAAGAAGTTCCTGTAAGTATGGGCTGTATAAACCAGCGGGGATTGGGGTTCAGTGACACAGAGGCTGCTGGAGACCCAGGTATTTCATTTAAAGGGCCAGCACACAAACTGAACTTACAAGGCCCCACTTACTCTGAGCTCCAGCACCAGGGTGAGGCTCTGGAGGACCCAGACACATATGAAGAGGAACTGGATTGTCTGGCATTAGATGGGGTGGGGGATTCCTCGCAGGGGTCTTGTTCCTATGCTGGGACCTCCCCTGTCGCCAGGCTGACTGGCAGCCTTATCTGTGTCTCCATCAGCCCAAGCACACTGTTTGCTCCACTCTAGGGATTCCCGGAGACCCATTCCATCCAATTTGCAACCCCACTCAAGCTGTTTGCAGCAGCTTTTCCATATAAATAGCCTGTCCTGGCTCAGGCTTCAGACTTTGCTAAAATCTCTCAAACAAGCTACAGCTGGTGACAGCTTGCCCCCAACATATCAATAAAGAGTCCAAGACCTGGCACTAGCACCAGCCTGCCTTGCTTCACAGCTGGGCCTCACCTGGGCACCTCCAACCCCAATACAAATAGCAAATAGCAGCTGTCTGCTGATCCCTCTGTAGCTCCTGCCAGGTGGCCCCTGGCAGTGGCTGACTTTGTACCTCCCTGGAGGCCCTAGAGCCAGTGAACCCAGTGAACAGCTTTAGACCATAGCAGATTACAACTCTACACATCTACAAGAGGCAGACTTAGTAAGCACCAAAGCCCCACTGAAGCAAGTCCTGCTCCATAGGGGTGTCTCCTGAACACAGCTCTCCTCACTGTAGTCACAGCTGGTCCTCACAGCCAGTTGGGCTGGAGGTTAATTCCTTCCAGTGACACCAACAGCAATCAAGACTTAACTACAAGACTATGCACACAACCCACAAAGGGGCACACCTGGAGTGCCCAGCTCAGGTGACTGGGGAGGCTAAGCCACTGGGCCCTATAGGACACCTACTACACAAGGCCACTTTACCAATTCCAGGAGACATAGCAGCTCTACCTAATACATAGAAACAAACACGTCACAAATGGAACTACTGGATAGAGTTCAAAACCATGATTATAAGGTTCCTCAAGGACTTTAATGAGACTGTCAAGGATCTTAGTGAGAATGTCAAAGACATGAAAAAGGACAGTCAGAAATTAAGCAGACAGAAATTAAGTATACACTAACTGAAATAATTTACAGGGATTCAACAATAGAGGATTCTGAGAATCAAATCAACGACTTGAAATATGCTCATTTTGAAAGCTGCCATGGCACGGGTATATGAGGAAAAGGAAGAGTCCATGTCAGTCCTGATAGGGGACAAACCTGGCCCGTACCCTTCAGATAGTGGGACCAGCTGCCTCTTTGTCATGAGAGCAGGGCTGATGATAACAGCTCATGCCCAGCTGGTGTGGCTCACTGCTTGAGCACCCACCTATGAACCAGGAGGTCACAGTTCAATTCCTGGTTAGGGCACATGCCCAGTTTTCAGGCTTGATCCCCAATAGGGGGCATGCAGGAGGCAGCCAATTCTTTCCCATCATTGATGTTTCTCTCTCTCCCTCTCCTTTCCTCTTTGAACTCAATAAAAACATACTTTAAAAAAATGACAGCTTACATGTTTTAAGCACTTACAATGTCCCAGGCATAGTGGCATTCAAACACTTGTTTAATCCCTCAAGCAGCCTTTGGAAGGTTTTCCCATTTCTGAGCCCCATTTCACAGATGGGAAAATGAGGCACAGATCAGTTCATTAGGACCCCAAATCACAAAGCTAGTAGGTGATGACGGAGCCAGGACTCAAACCCGAGTGGAATGATTCAGAACCTGCCACCTCTATGGTATTCAGCCACAGGATGATCTGGGTATCACCTTGACTGGTAGCCCTTCATGGAATACTGCTTTGAGAAGCATTTAGACCAAGCATGTCAAACTCAAAGGCTAGCATAGGCCAAATAAGCGAGGCATGCAGGCCACAAGTTTGACATGCTTGATTTAGACTGTGATCAGGGGGAAAAGGACTGTAATTGATTAGCAATGTCTGCCCTGGACTTGAGGAAGGAGGAGTCAGAGCTCTGCAGGCCACTCAGGCATCACAAACCTTTATTGATACCCTGGGCGGGATCCTTCTTTATTTGGGGGCTGCTCAGTGCATTGTAGGATGATTAGCAGCATCCCTGGTTCCCACCCACTAGCTACCAGTATCACCACCACCCCCAGTCCTGACAATTAAAACTGTTTCCAGACTTTGTCTCTTGGAGGCAAACTTGCCCGGTTGAGAACCCTTGCAATGGGGGATTGGCAAAAGAGCACTGAACTTGAAGTCAAGAGAACGGGGTTCTAGCTTGGCTCTGTCACCGTGGAAATGGCCCTACTCCTCCACAGGCATCAGGTTCTTAATGTGTCAAGTAAAGGGGATGAAGTGAATGGTCCCATAAGCCCCTTCTAGAAGCCTGTAGTTGCACACCGTGGTTCCCTTCCCTCACCCAGGCCTTCAGTTAAAACTCTCGGGAGCATAACTTTCCAGAGGAAACCGACAGAAAAGCCTGGAAGCCGCAGCGAGCTCTTTGACCCCTTGGAGCTTCATATTTGCTCCTCATTAAAGGAGAGAAAGAAACAAAGGGAAAAAAGCATTCAAATCTTGGTACTAAGATTTCCTCCAAGCTGCAGTTATCAAGCAGACACGAATAGAAAAATCACAGAGACAATAACCGAACACCCATTTCTCTGTGTTAGGAGAGAAAACCAACTATTGGTTGGGGAAATCTCCCCAGCTCCGTTCAATTATGAATCCCGGCAGGAAGCCTGGAAAATCCCGGCTTCTCTGCAGCCAAGGGTTGGAGGAGGCGGAAGGCAGGCGCTGTGGGTTCTTGAAGAACTCACGGTGAGAGATGAGGGATGGCGGGTGGTGAGAGCGAAGCCAGGATCCTGCCTCCTGTCGAGGGCCAGGATGGGTGGGGAGGATGGGGGCCTCTGGGACCCTAGAGCTGTATCTGAGGTCTTCACAGCAGGCATCCCTGGCGATGGCAGCACTGTGTGGGAGGAGATGTGGTTCCAGGGCTTGGTTCATGGGCCACCCGCAGGTAGGAAGACTTTTTTTTATTGGAATGGAGAAGTCGCCACTTCTGGGAGCTGTTTCCATGCTGACTCCAAATGGTCTCATTTCCTGTTCCTCCTGGGAACTGTGTGAAGTCCATTGACACCCCACATTGTCCATCAGGAAACAGATGCTGTACGGCTAACTGGTCAACCCAGTGCTTGCTTTCCCAGGTGACTGACACCTCAAGAGGCTGGAACTCACAGGTCACACAGCTTCCACATGGTGCACGGGGACCGGCGATCAGCACCCCCATCCCCCGATGCAACGTCCCTTCTCCCCCATTGGCCCTGTAGCCTGTGCCCGTTTTTGTACCTTGTAAAAATGTTGCAGGCCTGCCCTGAGGAAGGAAGTATGACTTTGGAGCCTATGAGTGGGTTGGAATTTCCTTCCCCTGAGGAAGGTGTGGCTGGTTGGAGGTTAGGGTTCTCCTGGTTGCAGGCACTGAAATCAACTTCTTCTGGCCTGATCTCCGAAGAGGGCTTTATTGGTGTGGGGGGTCCCAAAGCATTGAAGGGTTTAACAGCCAAGACTGAGGGAGGGGAGAACCAGGAGCTTTGTAGCCAGCATCACAGACCACTGAGAATACCCCATTGGTGAACTCCCCAAAGTCCCTAGTCCCTGGGTCTCCTCTGATCCAAATCCATACTCCCAAGAGTGCATCTGATTGGTCAAGCTCAGGACAGATGTGGGCTAGGATCTCGGGGCGGGGGGGGGGGGGGACGCGGGACCACCTATGTGAGGGACCCATTCCCACAGGTACACCTCAGAGCCTCGATATGGGCTTAGCAGTGGGCAGATGGCCCACCCTTTCTCTCCCCATTTCCTGCCCCCTGAGTCACTGCCAAGCTGTCCAAGCACAGAATCCCTAGAGCCCAGGATCTAGAGCAGCGGTTCTCAACCTGTGGGTCGCGACCCCTTTGGCAGTCGAACGACCCTTTCACAGGGGTCGCCTAAGACCATCCTGCATATCAGATATTTACATTACGATTCATAACAGTAGCAACATTACAGTTATGAAGTAGCAACGAAAATAACTTTATGGTTGGGTCACAACATGAGGAACTGTATTTAAAGGGCCAGAAGGTTGAGAACCACTGATCTAGAGAGATGCCTCAGTTTACCAGACTAACTGATGTCCAGTTTCAGGTCTATAGAGGTAAGAGTTTGGGGCAGAAATAGAGTTGTCTCTGGGAAACCTACTGCCTGGGGAAGGGGCTTGAACCAGTGGTTCCGGACAGACCCCATCACCTAGTGGACATTGAACCAGAGCCCAGCCCATTGCAACAGGTGCCGCCTTCCTGGTGCTGATGACAAGGGTGGCTTCTCCCCCAAATCCTCCACCGGCCTTCCTCTGGGTTGTCCCATTTGGGGGAAACAGCCTACTGGACCTAGCTGTCACCTGGACTGCTAGAAATAGGAAGGGGCTTGGAGATGGAGCCCTCTGCCTGCTGCCTGGTCACAGACTAGAACTGAGGGAGGAGACTTGGGGTCCAGGTTGCTGTAGAATTCATCCTTCTCTGTCAGGTCTGAAATGCTGCAAGCTGAGGCCCAATGCTCCTCAGCATGGCTCTCTCCTTGTGAGTGACAGGGAGCGAGGGGGCGGCAGGCTGAGTCCAAGGTCCCGCTGGCCTCCTCACCCTGCACTCCTGGCAGCAGCGGCGACTGGGGCTGCCATGGCCCGTCTGACAGCTGCAGGAAGCTGCCGACTGAGCCAGAGTTTAAATGTGTTCCTCCTCACAAGGAGCTCCAATGTGAGGGGAACAAATGAAGAGAGAGCTTGTTAATCCTGGGGGAGTGCATCCTGCAATCTCCCGGCAGCTGGGCTCCTCTGAGACTAAAATAAGACGCCCAAGAGGCCCCAGGGTGGGGCCCTACCACCTAACAGGTCAAGTGACACCCCGCCAGGCTGGGAATAAAATCGCAGACGTGCAGAGCCCGAGAGGGACTAGAGCTCCTGGCATTAGCCATGAAGAGACTTTCCAGCTTAAGGAAAGCTCACGGTGGCACCTTGGAGCCGGTGGCATTAAATCCAGTCCTTTTGCAGGGCAATCCAGGCCACCTCCCTGACTGCAGCCCCACCTACATTTTCCAGCCTCAATCGCCACCCCCACACCTGCTATTTTCCTAACTCCCTAACGTGCCTCTGTGTCAGAACCATCAGACATCTAATACGACTTCCCCCCGGCTCTGGGAGCCCAGCCCCTTCCCAGAACTGCCCAGATGACCCATCCAACACTCAGGCCCAAGTCTTTGGAACTCTGTGAACCTGCCACCTCCCTGTAGCCTGTGCCAGTCACTGGCTGCCGTGTTCTAAGGAGATGTGTGCACTCACCTCCCTAAGGAGGCTGTAAGTTCTTGCTGGCAGGACCCATGTCTTTGGGCTCCTACAGCCTGGCGTCAATAAATGATTGCTGAATTAAAAGGAAGGATGGGCAAAGGGCTGAGTGGATGAACCGTGTTTACATCAAAACCCAAGCAAGATCCTATAAGGACAGTGAGGCACCTCAGTGACTCTCAGCAAGAAAAGAGCGTGTGTGACACCCTGGTTGTCGGTGCGGTCATTGCCCTGGGACACTTTAGTCAGAAAACAGGTCTGTTCAAAGGCATCTCCAAGAAACGAGGAGTTAAAAACTGTATTCTCACCGTGACATCATCATCAGGATTTATCCTTCTCAAAAACGCTTTGACCACCATGGGCCTCCCCTCAGCTCTGAAAGATGGTAAACTATTTCCCCACTTTCCAGGTGGGGAGAAGCTTTCCTGACCTCTGCCCTGCAGCTGAGGCCAGGTTCCTCAGTGGAGGCCTTGCTCTCAAAGCGCTGGACCCCTCTTGCAGGCTTCTTCCCTCCGTCATCATTGAATGACTAGAAGCAGCAAGCTCCAGAATGGCAGAGACCATGTCTGTCTTGGTTTTTTCTTGTATTATTGATTATGGCTGTAACTGAAACATGCCAAAACGTATAATGTCTTAAACGTAAAAGAAGTGGATTCCTTGTTCATGGAACAGTGGGTGGTCCTCTTCATAGCAGGTTCCTCCACAATGGGATTCAGGACCCAGGTCCTTTCCATCTTGTGGCTCCCCCATTCCCTGTGGCTGGTGGGAAGGGTGGGGGGGGGCGGCAAATGGAGTTGGTGGGGGCACATCAACTTCTCCAGAGCCTTATCCAGAAAGGGCTGCTCACACTCCATTTGCCAACCCAGTCACACAGCCACATCGAGCTATAAAGGAAGCTGAGAAACAGTGCAGCCCTGTGTCCAGTAAGAGAGGATGTGAGTTCTTAGCGAGCAGACGCTCTGCTGGATCCCCAGCATCTAGCTCCATAACAGGAGCTCAGTGAATATAAGTTGGGTGAAGGAACTGAAGGTCATAGTGGCTTAACAGGGTTTCAGCCGGGAAAGTCCAGCTGAGTCCAGGCCGCCTCTCCAAGCCTGGAGTTTCTTTATCCGACAGCCTGCCTAGCTGCAGCTGGAGAGGGGCCAGCCCTAGGAGGACGCCAGCGGATGCCAATTGATAAATCACAGCTATTAGGAGTGTTCTTTGGAGATAGCATGGAAGTCAATGAATTATGAGGGAGAGCTCTGAGGGGGGAATTACGGGGAGCAAGGAGCTCGAGGGTTGGGAGAAGCATGAAGCCTGGGTTGACAGCAACTTGGAGCACTGGCCTGGATACCTAGCTGGGCATCGGCTCCGAAACCTGTGTGATGAGCTGAATTGTGTCCCTTCAAATTCTTACATTGAATTTGCAGGGACACAATTGAAGTCTTACCCCAGAGCCTCCCAATGTGACCTTATCTGGAGTATGAGTATTTAAAGAGATAACTAAGCTAAAACGAGGTCATTAGGGTAGAGCCTAATCCAGTATGACTGGTGCCCTTATGAGAAAAGGCAATTTTGGAGATGGACAGACACACACAGGGAGAACGCCATTCAAAGATGAAGACCAAAATCAAGGTGATGGTCCCACAAGCCAATGAACGCCAATGATTGTCAGCAAACCCCGGACGCTGAGAGGCCTGGAACACATCCTTCCTCAGAGCCCTCGGAAGGAACCAACCCTGCCCACACCTTGAGCTTGGCCTGCTGGCCTCCAGAACGGCGAGACCAGGTATTTCTGTTAGGTAAGCCACCGGGTTTGTGGTACTTTGGTACGGCAGCCCTAGAAACGAATACTCCTGCCTCTTTACACTGGAATGAACTTGGCCAAGTCATTTCCATCCTGGCCTCTGGCCCCTCATCTGCAGGCACATCGAAGGACAAGAACTGGGTCTCCCCAAACCAGGCGCACCGATTGCCACTGCCTTTCTTCTTTTCACACCTTGCTGCTCCTTTCAGGAGTGGCCCCTGCCCACTCAGGGTCTTCCACCCTCGGGTGACTCCATGGAGACTGTACCATCAAAGCCCATCTGAGCCTGTCATGTGAGACCCTCGGCCCAGCTGCTGCACCCCATTGTTGCTCCCTACCCATGCCATACTGTCTGAGGTTATAGAACACAAGGCCGGCCTACCTGCACACCCTCTGCCCGAGCATCTCCATCTTCCAGTGACAGGTTAATTCAGCCTCAAACATCAGCCAATGCCCTTAGCCCAAGAGTTTTCCCACCAATAAAGCGTGTCGGGCACCCACATTCCCCCATCATGCTCCAACCAATCAGAACTACATGTAGCTCAGAGAGCACACTATGTCCTGCCTCCAGGGTAGGAGGGGTAGGGGCACACACTCTGAATTCGGGTGGCCTAGGTTCAAGTCCTGGCTAGGGCACCTAGTAGCAAATAGTGTAGGGCTGTGATGAAGGTGACGGGAGTTAATGTCAGATGCTTAAAAGTAGTGCCTGGCACATAATAGGTGCTAAGTAAATCCTCGCCATCATTCTTTTTGTGAGATAACACTCTCCCCCCAAGTCCTCACCCACCAACCTGGCCAAAACCCTGCCACCCCTCAGTTCTCCACCTCCTCCATGAATGCCTGGGTCCTTTCTGGGGAC